GAGGCAAAAAAAAAAAAAATTTGTAGGCCAACAAAGGTACAGGCCTTTAATCTCAGTACTCAGGAGTCAGAGGCAGACAGAGCTCCATGAGTTCAAGGCCAGCCTGATATACACAGGGAGTCTGAGGCAACCCAGAGCTTCACAGTGAGACCTTGTCTCAACAGATAATAATTTGTAAGCGTGTACCTGGTAAGTCTCCCTTCCAAAATATATTATGAATTAAAATGAACACAAATTTAAAATTGGCAAAATAGTGAAACAGGCACTTCTTCATAAAGAAATTGTGATGTCTTCCAGCACCCAGAGGCAGAGATGGGTGTTCAAGGCCAGCCTGGACTACATCCTAAATTCTAGGCTAGTAAGGGTTACATAGTAAGACCCTGACTCAAAAAAAAAGAAAGAAAAAGAAAAAAGAAAAAAAGAAAAAGAAAAAATGTAGATGCTATTCATTATAAGTACTTGTAGAAATGTAACAAACCTGTACAACGGCCATAAATTCAACTACTTGGGCTATGCAGATTGCGTGTCCCTCATCATTTGAGGTTAAAAAAAATCTTAATATACATAAAGATATTTTTGGAGTGGGACCCAAGGCTACATATAAGATGCAGTTACTTTTTGTATTTACTTAATTTATTTATAGTGCTGGGTATTGAATCCCAAGCCTCGGGGGTGCTGGGTATGCATGTACCTGGGTTTCACAGCCCCCTTCAGTTAAGTGTCATAGGCACCTCAAACATATAGCCTGAAGGCAATTTAATACTCTGTTTTTAATTCACTTGCACGTGACTGAGACTTCTCGTGTGCGGCCAGGTGTGGAATTTCCCACTTGTGGCATACTGGTATTCAAAAGCTCAGTTCAGATAGAGAGGCTTTAAAGATGAGGGACATTCAATCTGTATCCAAGAGACATATCTCCACCAAGAACATTTGGGGCTGGAGATATCCCTCAGCAGGTAAGAGCAAGTCCTGCTCTTGCATACACCCCCCAATTCAGTTCCCAGTACCTACTGGAACTCCAGCTCCAGGGGGATCCGATGGTCTCCAGCTTCTGCAGGTACCTGCACTTACCTGTGTGGAACCCGTGCAAACACACACACACACACATGCACCATTGAAATAAAGTAAATTCAATTAAAACACAGTAGCAGTTCAACTCGTTAGGGTCCCATATTGAAAAACAACTAAAATATTCACAAGAGCTAAAATGGCTGAAGTGTTTGAAATGCATGCTAATTATGTGGGGCGAAGGAGCTTGCTGATAATAGCCAGAAAGTAAATACCTTAGGCCTTGTGGGTCAGATGGTCCCACAGTCATAAACATGGGCTTTGGCCATGTTCCGATAAAAGTTGCTATATGAAAATAACGGGCTGGGATTGGCTAATGGGTCACAGTGTGCTAGTCCCATATATGAACGGCTCTCAAGAACACAATGTGAGCCAAAAAAAAAAAAAAAAAAAAAAAAAAATTAATGTCCACTACATTTTGAAGTTCCTGGTGCTGAAAGCAAGGCATTAGAGTCGGGGAAGGCAGTGCTCCAAGGAGCAGGGATGAAAAGGACGTATGACCTCATCTGGAGAGTGGCACAGGCATATACATTAGCATACTTCATCAGGCCACGCCCTTTATTTTTGCCTTTTCCGTACTTTGTATTTGCAAGTAAGCTGTAGCTCAATTTGGAGAAAAGGGCAAATCTTCTTTAACTAGATAACTAGATTTTTTTAACTAGATAAATAGAATATTGGTCTAAAGAAAGACTATTCAGAATTCAATGTGCCAGATTAAAAACCTGTGAAGAAGTTTAAACCATCTAATCGTGGTTCCTGAAGAACAGAACAAAAGTAGGTGTTTGAGGGAGAGTGAGATCATGGGTAAAAACTTCCCGGGCTTGAAAAGGAAATCCTAGGTGAAAGTGCCAAACACATGTGCACACAATACATACAAACACATGTGCACACAATACATACATTACCTCATCCAGAAAGCCTCTGGTTACACATTCTTTGTGATCACACAAGGAGCAATTAAGACCATAAAACACCCCTCAACAGTAAGCAAATCAGTGGTATTGACACTTGTGCTGACCGTGGTTCAAGCTAACAATCAGTAACAAGAAACGTCCCAAGCCCCCCACATTGGAGCTAGAGAGTGTCTCAAGACTCTCACAGTGAAAGAAAGAAAGAAAAAAATACCATAATGAAAACATGTTAAATTCTTAAAACAGAACCACATGCTACACATAAAGCAACCTTGCATAAAAAGCTCCAATATCTTCACATGGCAAATGGGTACAGAGCCCAGAAGCAAGCCCAGACTAATCTGAGCATCGCCATGGCCAAAGGGGTGCACCAAGCCCCTGGCACAGAGACAATTGCCTTCCCAGGTGAAAAAAGAATGCAGTTAATCTTGCGTTATCTTCACCACATAAAGAAAACATACGCATCTACACCCACACGTACATGAGCTCCATAACTGTGGACAAAACACAAACTGTAAACACTTTGAAAATCATTGTGGAATCAATTTCATTAACAGCCGAGTAGGAATTTTTTTTGTGTGTGTGGTTTTTTTTTTTTTTTAATCAAGACACGCACAGCACAAAGATGAATGTCTGTTTATTATCCGAAAGTTTCTCCAACCACGACCTGTAGCCAGAATAATGTTTCCCAAGAGAAAAGTGCACAATGTTGGAAATGTCCTGGCCTGTAGTGTAGGAGGAATATGTAACATAATAAAATAGAAAGTTACATGTGGAGGTTGAGCACTAGAAATATGGCCTGGGGGTCACTGAATAACTGAAATTAAATAAATACCACAACATGCCAGCATTTTAAAACTCAGAGTGAAGGCATACAAAGATTTCATGCTTTGTTACCTTTTTTTAGTATTTATGCTCCTCATAACAAAACCTCATTGGAGCTTAAATTGCTAAATAAAATATAATTTCCAAGTAACACCAAAGTTACTTTTAGAAAGCGCATGTTGAATGGTTTCAATTTTCTTGTAAAAGTACATTAAATATTTTAAGGCATAGAGAAACATATGATGGATTTAATGAACAGCATTGTGCCCACCAAAGAAATTATGAAATACATTGGTAATGCTGTTACGTTTCCTAGGTAACTCTCCCTGATCAAGACTCTTTATGACGCAATGGAAAATATGAGATTCCAAGCCCTGGATTCAGGCTGCTTCATTTTCTTTAGTATATTAGTGGGTGGGGGGTTAACATCTAGACCCCCCCACCCGTGTATCATTTAAATAGCAATTAATCCTGAAACGTGGCTGAGGGCAGTGCAGACTGGCCAGGAGATAAGGCACTTTCCAGCTTTATAGGCACCCTTAATGTTCCCTCATAGCCGCTGCCCCCTCCTCCTCCAGGGAGGTGACCATTAGCAACGCTGGCAGCATTAATTTACATTTTTTCCCTTTATGGTTTTTAATATCACCATGCTTCCCCAAACAATAGCTTTGCTTGCCAGGTTCTGAATTTCACATAGATGAAAGCATGCAATATTCAGTAACTTGTTTTTATTTTATTTTTTTCCTCCTCAACACTGAGGTGTCTGTGTGGAAACACAAATCCGCCTCATTTGCTGCTGTACCATGTTTCATTTTATGACTAGTACATAATTTATGTTTCCCGGTCAGACGGACATGAAGGCGTTTTCCAGCTCTCTGGTACTACACAGAAAGCCTTCTTGTACAAATGAAAATTTATCTAGGGCAGTGGCTTTTAAACTTTTTTGACCATGACTCATAGTAAGGAATGGCATTTTAGGACACCATTACACGTATGCGTATATAAAACTGGGGGGGGGTCATACAACAAAGACCCTCTGACTTGAGACACGTTCTGACATTTTCTCCGTTTGCGATTTTCAATTTTTTTTTTTTTTTTAAATCACTCTCTACTTAAATGGTTTCACAACTCACAAATAAGAGCTCTGCGTTTGGAACAACGCTGCTCTGTAAAGGGTATGCAGAGAGGCACGGACCGTGAGGTCGGGAAACGCAGATGTCAAATGTCGTCAACTCTGATTCCTGACTTAAAGGACCGTTTTCCTTTACTAGTATGTAAATTTCCCACTGTTTTTAGAGCAAAAGCCGCGAAACAACAGATTTTATCTTTTCATGCGTCACTAAAATATTAATCACTTACCATGCACTAAGTAAGCAGCCAGAGACGCCAACCCCAGACCGATGGGTTTACACGCAGAGGGAAAAGGAAAGATTGGGGGGGGCACACTTTGGGGAGCAGAACCTCGCCGAGGCCCCAGAGAGCTAACGGGAGGGGCCTCGAAAGCTGCCTTGGAGGGTGGGGTTAGAGAAAGATCCCTAGAAGAAGGATCTAAGCTGGGGCATTTCTATTTTTAATTTTTACTAAATTCTTAAACATCAAAGTAGCACATTTGTTACGGGGGAATTCCCAACATTTTCAGACCCCCCTTTTCGGTACAGAAACGGGAAACCCTTTTTAGCGTCCTTAAAGTTGATACGGGGATTGGAGAAAGGGACACAAGTTGCGCTCTGAATTCTCCCAGGAATTTTAGGATGCTTTCAAGTAGCTTTAAGAGCACAAGCGAAAACGCCCAGTTACCGTTAAGGCATCAAAAAATAACCGCGTTTCCACAAACGGACGCACATCACGTCTCTCCGACTTTCTTTTTAGCTTTTTTGTCGAGTTCGGAGCGCTGCCAGGTCTTAAGGACCGAGGCTAAGTGCCGCATACCACCCAGCGACGGGCGCGAGCGAGCCAGCCAGCTAACAAGCAAGCGCGCACGGCACGACCGTGGCGCTGGCTCGGTTCCGAGGGACCCAGACCCTTTCGCGGCATCCGTGGCCTCAGCTAGGAAACCCATGGTCAGAGTTTGTCACCTTGGTGCCCGAAGGACCCGAGACCCTGAGGTCCGCGCCGAGCGCGGCAACCCTCCCTCCCCGCGGCACTGCCGCGCCGCATCCCGAAGCACCCGGATCGGATCGCCACTTACCTACCTACCCGAGCCGGACTCCGGCGAGGCCGCTCCGCACGCAGCCTACTCGGCCATGACGGCGACCCGAAGGTGGCCGCTCTCCTCTCCGATCCCCTCGCCGCGAGCCCGATGCCCACGGCCGCGCCTCTCCGAGCGTCCTCCCGCCTGCAAGGCGAGTGAGGATGGAGAACGCCCCAGCCGCGACTATATAAAGGCTCGGGGCGGTCCCAGCCCCAGCTGAGTGACAAATGGCAGACGCCGTGGGCTTTGCCGCGCAACAAGCCAGCCAAAGAGATGGCTGCACGGACAAGGCTGCGGGAGGGGCCGAGAGAGGAGCTGGGCCCCCGGGTGTCACGTGGGGCAGAGGGCCCAGGGGTCTGCGGGGGGAGGACAGCCACGCAGCCCGCTGCGGTGACTCATCGGCTGTCTGCGCAAAGCCAAGGTCTCCCAGGTGCCGCGTTGGCGCAGGTAGTCTCGACTCAGCCCGAAGATCCGTGATGAGGGCTGATTGCGCCTGTCCCCACCGGGATGGATGATCCACCCACCCTCTGCCACATTGCAAACCAGAAACGTGTGTGTGTGTGTGTGTGTGTGTGTGTGTGTGTGTGTGTGTGTGTGTGTGTGCATGTGTGTGTGTGCGTACCATGAGCTGCAGCTTTCAGTCAGAGGCCGAAGAAACATAGTCCCTGCGTGATCAGGGGGACCTCGGTTGGTGTGGGGTTCTAACAGCTTTCAGCGTCAATATCCCAAGTCCCACGGCAGTCCTTCTAGAAACCACACTCCCCCTATTGACTGGGGGGGGGGGAGAGACAGATCGGACGCGATTTTTGTGTCCGTGAGCACGCATTGTTCATGTTTTAAAGACATTTAGAATATTTTATGTTGAGGTTTAAAAGAGCCCGAAGCGAATCCTCAGCATTTGCTTTCGCCCTTAAAGGAGGTCCGTGAGCGATAAGTGGCAAAAGCAAGGAACGCGAGCCGTTTCCGACCGGTTCAGTTTTACGGTCTCCTAAGTGGGGGAGGCGATTAATCAGCGGGCTCACTTTCTCCCACCTCGCCCCAGACTAATTTCCCACCGCCGCTTCTGTTGCTTCGGGCTCATTAGCAACTAAATGTGCGGTCTCGACGCTAGATTTAAAGGAACTCCAGGGTTGCTCCAAGCCTTTCCTGGATTACATTTATCTAGTGAAGGCAGCGGGCTATCTTTTTTTCTTAGGCCATTTTCTTAAGTGACTTACACGTCAGAGAAAAATATGCTTTTCTCTTTACATGTCGATTAAGAGGAGGGAAAGAAATAAAAAAACCACGGGTATTTTTAACACCTCACAGAACACGAAAACAATTTCTTCTCCGGTTTTTCTGTTTTCTTTTCTTTTTTTTTTTTTTTTTCTTTCTTTCTTTCTTTTTTTTTTTTTTAAGTAGGAGGTCTCACGTAGTCCAGCCTGGCCTTGAACCCCTGATCCTCTTGCCTCCGCCTCTTAAATGCTGGTTTTATATGCTTGCAATTCTGTACCACCGAGCTGCCTTACTGATGAAAGATCTCCGTGGAAAAGCCTGCGTAAGTGTTCCTCAGCAGTCGCTCGGTTTTTCTGCATGAATGCCTGAAGAATTATTTATCAAGAACCAAACAGCCTAACACCCCCCCACAACACTCCCTATATATCATGATCTTTCCGTTTTTTTAGTTACATTTGAGCTTAATATTCCGTTCATGTTATATCTGAATCAGCTTCCGATTTAGGACTGAGCGTTGTTTTTGTAGACGATTTTTCCTGTGAATTCTTTAGGCTTTAAGGCAAGGGCAGGTGAGAGGGGAAACAGCACACGGGAACAGCTCCGATTGGAAATACAGCTCGCCGGGGGCAACTCAACCCTCACTGGTGACTCCTACAGCCTGTCACCAGACCCTTCCTCATTAGAAACAGCCCCTTCCCATGAACTCCAGCTGGGGTTTTCAGTAGAATACAGCACCCCAGGAGGCGAGCTGAATAGCAGTATTAAGTGTTCAGTTTCCTGGACACTTCACAAGGATGCTACTGACTGCTTTCCAACGTGGAAGGTTTCTGTGACTTCTCGGGATTTAGTCTGATTTTTTTTTTCCTCCAACGTGTCTCAAAGCGGTGGGAAGACGATGGATATAGGTTTACTGTGGACACATGATGCTTTAATAAATCTTAGCTTTGCTATCTATTCTCAAATTGAACACCATAAAACTGCTGCAGATAAAGTGTATCTACAATCCCAGCATCCCCCAAAGGCCAAAACAGAAGAATAGAGAAGTTCAAGGCCAGTCTGCACTAAGTAGTGAGACCCTGTTTGGAGAAGTGGGGGGGGGGGGAGTGGCAGAATTTTTTTTTTCTTTCCTTGGTTATTTTATCTGCTATTTTCTTTCCCTTGGGTGGTCTAATTTGGACCTTATCCTGCTTTCCTGAAATATGCTTATACAGGAATCTCCCATTGATAATAAATCATATGAACCCTTTTTTTCTATTATGCTATTTTCAGCGTGCTTTTTTTTTTTTTTTTTTTAAATATGAATGGTTTCCTTGGTAGCTGTGACATCTAAGCTTTTCCCCAGGAACACAAGTCCCCAAAAGGTTTTAGGACAGAGGCTAAAGTAGGGACAAAGTGGGGTCTATACCACTCATGCTGTGCTGTGCTGCGCTGCATGGCTGCAAGACTGCATGGCTGCAAGACTGCATGGCTACGAGGCTGCATGGTGGCTTGCAGCAACTCAACAGTGCCATCAACTGTGTATTTTTTTTAAAGAATGACACATGGTATTTTCTCATGAAACCCTCTCATTTTTGAAACACCACAGACGTCAAAAGTGTCTCTCGTGGTGAAACCGAGCCATAGGGTCTCCACTGTAGTCCCTTCAGCAGTCAGAAAGTCTATAATTATTCTTTTTTTAAGTACTTCCAAGCATGGTTTCATTCCACAGACTCTTCACTAACTCTTAAAATGTCTTCATCAGTCAGGCATAGTGAATCTATGACCTCAGCCTTTAGGCAAGAGGGTTAAATATTCAAAGTATTCAAGGTCTCCCTTGGCTACCTAGTGAGTTCAAGACCAAACTGGACTACATGAGAAACTAGCAGGAAAACGAATGTTTCCCCTTACCAAACAAAAAGCAAGAAGATTGATGCTGAAGTGTACAGGACAATAAAATGTGTCAGAACCCGTCACTATCAGGCACTATGTTTTCCTGGGAGTAGCAGCTATGACGGTTCTAATATTTACACCATGTGAGCAGACAGTTGATACAAAATGGGAACACAATAGTCAAATAATAGGCGACAGTATCATTTTTCAGTCATGAAGAAAAGACATTGAGCAAAACCTGACATTCGCTCTTGAAAACAAAACGTTGAGCTATAGGGGACCTTCCTTGGCCAGCTAATGGGTGGGCCCGTTTCCTATAGCTGTCGCAATAAATTACCACAAATGGCTGGTTCAAAACAAGAAACTTATTTTCTCACAATTCTAGGAGCCAGAAGGCTGAAATAAAAAGTATCAGCAAAGATCACGTGCACCCTCTAGTGGCCTTTGAGGAGAATCCTTCCTCGCTTCCAACGGGTTTGCTTAGCCCCAATTTCCCCATCTCTGCCTCCATCTCCAAGTTTTCTTCTTGACTGGTGTCTCTACTATGATTACCTTATAAAGACACTTGTCATTGTATCGCATTTAGGATCTACCTTAATCACTTCAACATATAGTTGAAGTACCTAACGCTTTCATATGACATTGCCTCAAAACTAGACCTATGAATTTCTTGGTCCTTGCTGAATATAAATCCTTAATTTAGAATGAAAAGCCTCCCTCCTGCTTTAACTATATAAATCAAATAAAGTAACAACCAGAGGTCCGGGGATTAGGGCATAGATGTGCATGTGTTGGGAAAGGTGTTACTTTTTAATCCTCTGTGCTGGTAAAAATCTATATCTAATTTGTTGCAGAAATCTGATTGACAGAACTTTACATGGAGAGAAAAAGAACACAGAGAAGAAAAAACAACCTTAAAATGTAGGTCTGGGTGTATCTTACAAGGAGGGGGGAGAGCTGGGGGAAGAGAGTGGAAGAGAGAAGTAGAGAGGGAGGGTGAGAGACAAAGTAAGAAAAATGAAAGGGGAGGAAGAAGGCAGGGTAATTGGAAGGGCTGATGCCATCTGGTGTTAAAGCTTGCTATAAAACTATAAAAACCGAGACTGGAAGGGACTAGCGTCAGAAAGAAAAAAAAAAAAAAAAATGGAGCAGACTACTGAGTCCAGACACAGACCTATGTTTGTTTTGTTTGAGACAGCCTTTGACCTTTGTTATGTATTGAAGAATGAGCCTGAGCTCTCCAGCCTCTTGCCTCTATCCCCCAAGCTGACCATTTCTCTCAGCTTAAGATCCCTTGATTTTGGGCATAAAGTGCTTTCAACCTGGAAAAGAAATAATGGTATGGGTACTGGTTGTTTACGTGAGGAAAACAAAACCCTCTCCTCGCATTTAAAACAAGGAGATAAAATCAAATTAGATCACAGGTCAACAGAAAGCATAGGCAAGATACAATTTCCAAAACTGCTTTATGCGTTACAATAGGCTGCTAGTCTATTTCAGACTTTAATGTGGCTAGTGCAAACTGAGATGAACTAACCCGTGAGAATTAAACTTCAGTTTTCAAGGACTCTGGATTAGAAACAATATATAATGTCTCCCTAATAATTTCATAACACGCCTGGCAAGATGACTCAGCCAATAAAGGCTTCTGACATTCACATCCGTCAGAAGGGAATAACTTGCCCCCACAAAATTGTTCCCTGACCTTCTCCACATGCATGGTGTGGCACTCGTGTGTCCCACTACATGCAACAAACACATAAAAATACATGCTAAAGATAATTCTGAATTGACTACGTGTTGAAATGATAATGTTCTGGGTATATTGGTTTGAATAAAGGCATTCTGACTTGAGTGTGCTGAAGGGAGCTGTTTGTACTATTTTACGGTGGCTACTGGAAAATCTAAGCTGATATGGATGACTCACACTTCCGGCAGCTCTTATCTAGACAAAACCCTGGGACGGGCAGTTGTTTTGCAGGCTGCACAAAACAATGATCCTGAAAGAATAAATTGGCAAGTGGGTTTACTAAAAACAAAATTGTCAGTTCTTCAGAAGAAGATGAGAA